TTTGTATGGGAATTACTATGGTAAAACAAAGATTTTTGTTCATGTCTATCTAATAATTCACCATATCGGTCTGCTTCAAAAGCTTTCAACTGTGCTTGTAGGAAATTTTCCCAGCTACAACTTTGTTGAAGATTACTTTTTGATTAAATGCAAGAATCGAAAGTTATCAATGGTTCAATGCGCTGATGTCTTATGATCATGCTCAATCAACTGCTCAGCAGGCAACATTGGTGTTTCTGGGGCGTTGAATAGAACACCAAAATCATGGCTACTATGTCACACAGCAAAATACAGTGTTGCCTACAGAGCAGCTGCTTGATCATGTCATAAGTTTACTAATCTCTTAAATAATTAATAACTTTTTCCTGTCTCGTTTTACATAGAAACGATCTTCAGCAAAGATGTAGCTGAGAAAATTTTCTATAAGAATGGTTGTTGAGCTATTTCGCAGCTCAATATGGAAAAAGACTAGAAGCCAATGAACAAAAAGTTGAGATTTCCCATAGTAATTTACATGTAAACTTCAAATGGCTTGTGCGAAGTCTGTTTCTAACCAAATGAGTTGTAACTTTGGAAGGCTTATCAGGAACCGATTTGAAACCATTTAAGCACTGTGGAGCGAAAAAGTCAAATTTTGCATCAGTCTACTGGTCATCCTGGTGTCTTGAGAAAAAAATTACAGACAACTTCCTTATTACTTTCTGATCTCCTGAAGGACTTTGTAATAGTATCTGACCAACCTGGTAATATGAAAAAATATCTGATAGACGTTATTTGAATGTTTGGAGGATTCAAGATCTTCAATATAAAACCTGATCATCTTGAAAAAATATGCAGAGGACTGCCTTAAGCCTAAATTGAGCTGTGAGAGGACAGTAATAAGCTACAGCGAGAGCGAGTCTTGTTGAAACCATAGCGTATAATTAAAGAGAGTCCGATGGTATATCGAAGCACATAGCACCATTGGAATGCGAGAGACAGCTACATAGTACTTTTCTCCCTCTCGTACCTTAACAAAATCTGTTCGCCCCGCGCGTGAGAAATCTCTGAGGACGGAATGCACCTTTATGGTGTATTCAGATCTGAGCGATATTTCACGCGCGGAGAGAGATTTTGCGAAGGTATGAGAGGAATAAAAGTACTAGTTGTCTCTCTCATTCCAACGCAAATTTTGCTCCGCTCCGCTAATGTACGCTCAGATCTGAATACACCTTTAAGGTGAATTCCGTCGTGAGCGATATTTCACGTGCGGGGCAAGTTTTTGCGAAGGAACGAGAAAGAGAGAAGTAATAGTTGTCACCAGGGGTCGACTAAAAACTCAGAGTGGTGCAAAATACACTGGGGCTACTCTAAAATAAGGGAGCGCGTCCCTTATATTTGGAAGGAGAAAGAGACTAATGTCGTTTTCGTTTTTGCGGTGTAGCTACACCGGTGCTACACTGCCGTAAACCGAAATATTTGAGGGTGTAGATGTAGGATGCACCTTTGCTTACAAACAAATGATGTTGAGCTGTCAAAGACTCGCGCTTATTCCTGCTACACTACACCACTACACCAGTGCTAAACCGCAAAAATGAAAACGACATAAGGAGAGAGAGATTTCATATTTAGGAGAGAGTAGTTGGACAGTTCAGGTGCTACTTGCGTATAGCACAATCGAGTAGTGCACGGTGTTATGACGGGAGTAGCACTTTTCAATCGCGAGAGACATGGCTTAGAGATTTACAAGAATGGCCGCATATTTTAGGCTGGGTGCAGAATATGTTTACACTCATATAATATACAGTATGCAAAAAAAGTTTATCCACCCCCCTACCAATTTACATTTTTTTTTCTGGTGAAAATCAGTTTAATTTTATGAGTGTTCTTCCATGATTTATCAATTTATGTTTATTTATCACATTGCCATTGAAAATACGGCGTTTATATCTTTTCTTGAGATTTCATGAGATAAATAATGTAAAATTGTAAAAAAATACGCAAAAAAAGTTTATCCACCCCCAAACGGATACTATGATATAAGTGTGTTTTACAGAGTTTTAGTGTGTATTCTGCAACTTTATCGAATTTAATCATTATGCCTACCTGTCATTTAGTGCTCTTGAAGTTTTCGTGCTCAAAATTTCAGTTTTGTGTTCAAAATTGGAAGCTATTTATTTCAAAATGCCGAAAAAAGATCAAATTTAGATCAGTATCCGAAATTTGACTATTGAACATCACAAAACTTGCAAAAGCTACCGTGATATTGTAGATTTTGTCCAGCTTCACAAAGATACGGTCGCTAGAATTGTGCAGATGCACAAAAAGCGTGGTTCTATCTACCAGCCAAGCGATCGGGGTGTCCTTCAAAGACAAATGGCCGAATTGACAGAACTATCGTGAAGAATGCAGAGCTCGACCGGGGAATATCAGCTCCGAAAATTGCGAAACAGATTGAAAGCTAGTTTTCCATTCAACTGACATCACAATCCGTACGAAATCGTCTTCATAAGAAAAGTTTTAAGGGCAGACTAGCTCTTAAGAAGCCATGGTTGTCCGCAATATATTTAAAAAAAAAGTTTGATGTGGGCCCAGGACCACATTTCATAATATTGATGTGGGCCCAGGACCACATTTCGGTAATATTGAGGATAATTCCAACCGGTGGAAACTAACGATTTTAAATTGGCTCACTACTTGACTAGCCTATTGATCCCAAGGACATCTATAAGCGTACCTCATTCTAGTCGAAATTCTAGTACTACACTATGCTTGTTTTGATTTGCTATGAAATTTTGACAGATAAAATGAGGGGTTCATGGATTTTCTTATGTTTCGAGGGGTGCATCGATTATCTTGGGACCGAAGATAGTACCAGAGCTGAGCCAAAAAGTTGAGCACATTTCTTCGGGACCTTCTGGTCTTAAGCTGGGTTTAGACCAGGCAAGTCAAATAATCAACTCAGTTGAATTCAATTGGCTTGAAAAGTTGTGCCTGGTTCCCTGGTTTCCCTGTCTAAACCCAGCTTTAGAGTTAGCTCTTTGATAAAACGCCTTGGTGCTTTCGAGGATAATACGAGTTTGGCGTATTATCCTCGATGGAGCTTACCGCTATAAGAGAACCATGTTTTCCGAATATAGTTGCATACCTTACGAGTGCGTTCGCGTATGTGTAACTTACTAGGGAAAACGTATTTAAATCAATTCCGATGCAACGGAATGGTCCTGAGTGCCGTTCTTTTTAAGTTTTCCTTGGTGCAGTGTTTTCGCAATTCGGCAGATACCGGATGGTCCGTCATCAAAACAATGCTTGGTTAAATCAATGTTGTTTCATTTCTTGCTCTAACCAAATGATATAAAATCGCTGAATGCAGTGTATTGAAATTAAAGTCAGTGGAGCCGGGCAGTGCACTCTTATTTATGTTATTGAAAAAGTTTTCCATCTGTGGGAATATAACAAAGCAGTGTTGGCACTACACACGAGTAGTTCCGTTTTATAAACATATGACCCCCATGCAAGTAAACATACAGTTTACCGTGGATTTTCCACCCGTGTAGGTCTGCCATGGAAACGAGTTGCAGGAGCGAGTGCAGCCTGATTCAAAGTGGAAAAATTAATACTCGCATATTGCTTCAGTTTTCCCTCTGTTCTGATAAGTTTCACGTATGTTTGCAAATCCAAGCGAGCCACTAGAGCTGATTAAATTTTCCTCGTTTCCGTTGGCGATGATGACGATGGAGTCTGAGAAAGTCGGTCAGGAATCTTGAAAAGGTAACTTTCGAAATCGGATTACCCGAACCAATGATCGCCGTCATTGAATGCAACTTGTTACACAGATTCAATCCAAAGCTGGGCTGCAAAGGCTGAGCGTGGCAATCAGTTTCAGTTAACTGATGTGTAGCTGAGCTGCATGTCCATTAGCTGGTCCAAAATCAGCTGATAACCATCGTAAGTCAAAGGGAATGCCGAAGCAATTTTGGTCCTGATCCACGGTTGATGACGATGATGGGGAGATTGTGTAAGCCTCTTAGCGTTGCAACATACAAGGGTATTAAATTTTTGCCAGACCCTTTCAGTTGCACGGATAGATTAAACCATTTTCTGCGTGTTCGGGATCCAAATGAGTCATCCAGGAAAGAAAATTCCATTGAATTTCAACTTTCATTTAATCATTTTGAATTATTATGAATTCCGTTTTTTCTACTTGTAATCGAAAGGTTTCTGTTTTGATAAATAATTCGCAGTAATTATTTAAATATTGTGGGAAAAGTCGAGTTAAATTTAAAATTTCATTGTGCAACTCAACTAGTCTGTGAGTTTAACAGAAAATCGGAAGTTCATGCTGTTGAAAATACAGTCAACAAACTAGTACTTTATTGTTCACCGAAATTTTGCAGACTGAATTTTCAACGGCATGACCATTCGAGTTCCTATTAAAGTCACAGAGTGGTTGAGTTGGGTGATTTTTCGATTTAAAAAAATGTTAAACTATGACGATTTTGCGACACCTCAAATATCGTCCGATTGAGCCCTTATTTTGCATAGCGTCGTTTTTCAAAGCAATAAACATGCTGCACTTGTACGATCCATGGCCACACTTCGCCAGCAGATCGCCTTCTACTTGGTCGATCCACCTCTTCTTCTTGTTCCTGTTGGGTCGCTTTCTAGAACCATTTTCACTGGGTCGTCGTGCGGCATTCTTAAGACGTGCCCAGTCCACCGTAGTTCATCCGCCTCCTCCACGTTCCGTTATCCATCTGCTATCCGTCCTCCGGAGTCCAAAGTAGGCACAATTATCTGTAGTCTCAACAAATCACAAGTCTAGTTTGCGACTGTCCTCAACTTTAACTCAGTTCTATTAGACACACCTATTTAGAACGCACATCGAACCGGTGTCGTTTCGTGACACAAGTTGTGGAAACTGGTCCAATTCAAATCGTAAAAACTCCTCAACTAGTAATACTCCTGCTTAATGTGTATACTCACACCAACAACCATTACTAAATGTCCTCTTCTTCCAGGTCTGTCGAGCCGGCCACTCTGCCCACCGCACCGGAAGACCAGCCTGCCGAAGCACTCGGACGTGAAGAAGCACTTCCTGGAGATTGCCGATACGACCCTGCCGGACGAGGTGAAGGCCGCCCTCCGGCTGCCGGCATTCGATTCCTACGAGTGGGAGGACTGGGACGTGATCCACCTGATGCAGACCATGTTCGTCGAGCTGAACCTGCTGGAGAAGTTTCAGATCCCACGGGAAACGCTCCGCGAGTGGCTGTACGAGGTGTACAAGCACTACAACAACGTCCCGTTCCACAACTATCGGCACTGTTTCTGCGTGGCACAGATGGTGAGTATCTGAAAACCCTATTCTCGCTAACCGGGGGTGGGATGTAATGGGATAACTTTTGCCAGAGTGCAGTCCTATGGTTGCGTTCTACGGATGATTGAAATTTAGCTGTGTGGAGCTTCAAAGTTTGAGTGATGGTCTCGTATTTTCTCTTCGCAGAGTTAGAAAATCTCACATGGTAATGCGTTTGTAGGCAAATGCATCCTCTTTTCCTGGAATGGGATTATTCGTTCCTTGGTGAAACTTTTCGCTATTATTATAAAACATGACCTGCTTGGCCTGTGGCAGGCGTTCGGATTGTTCCCGAAGAGCTCCCACTGTATCAACCATTGCATTGTGAAGCAGAGTCTGGCTGAGTGACGAGTGCTCGTTGGAAAAGAAATACAATGCTGCACTTTATTCTATCTACGATTGGGTGTAGCATGAATGTATGCATGAGCTTTGCTCAGTAGTCCTCCAGCAGGATGGCAATGTCGTACAAACCATCACATCTCTTGGCGGTTCAATCCATCATCGCATTAAGTTTTTTTTTCTATCCTGGAAAAGGGAAAATGGACGGAGAATTGAGTTTTTTCTTCCACTCTCTCTCTCTCTCTTTATCGTTATGATTTATTCATTGTTGTCCTGATGGGTTGATGGAATGCTGAAATGAACTGAAGTGCATACATCATTCGGTAGTGATTTTACGAGATAAAAAATGTTTTATTAAAAAAAATAGACGCGATTACAATGCTATAACACGACATACATTTTACGATCGATTTTGATTTCAACAAGGTTTGATGACACACATAATGGCAACTAACATGGTGGATGCAAGATTGGATACTCTTTCACTTCATTAGCATCAACGGCTTTACTTCCCTGATCAGAGATTTTATGCCTCAGAACATCCCGGCGGCGCCGACTGGGACTGAACCCAGGCAGGGTTACTCCACTATAAAAAATGTTTTTCGGAATTATGGAATCATTGGATACTATTATGAAAATTTGTACTTGTCAGAAACAAGAAGAGGTTGGAAGGTATGTATTTGACACATAAAACCTGCCAATTTCGCTTTCAGTGCGTCATAATCAGCGAATTTATGACTCGTGAGCGTTCACTCAGAGTGAGCGCTCATGAATCGTAAAATCGCTGATTGTGACGCACTGAAAGCAATAATGACAGGTTTTATGTGTCAAACACCTAGTTCACAACCTTATCTTGTGACTTACAACTACTTACTATCATTATAATATCTAATGATTTCATAATTCAGAAAAACATTTTTTTTATAGCAAGTGAGTGGAAGCAAGCCTGAACCCAGGCCTGCTGGGGACGCCAATATCTTATACATTATAAATTTAGAAAATTTTGAGCATTTTGAAAATCACCCTTTGTGCAAAGTCCACGGGACATATGATTTACTTTACTTTGCAAAGTAAAACCATGACAATCAAAGAAAATGTTGGTCCTTTTTCCCCTTACATTCAACAAGAAGATAAACTGACTGGTCGACACACGAGACTTATAGCTCGAGTTGATATTGGTTTGTCATTGTGAATCTTAAAAACTCTATTATTCATGAGATATGAGATGATTGCTATTACTCAGTTATTAGCCCTCTTATATCGATCTAACTTTAACTAAATTTGGTAACAACGTGAATCCATTGACATAACTATGAAAATACTAGATAGGCATCAACAGTAAAATTGTAATTGTATTGTGCCGGTCATTGAGCAAGCCACGATTGTTTGTAAAATGCCTATCCCGGCAACCCGGTTTTTCCGTTACCTTGAATGTTTTGGTTTGAAATCGGAATGACGATGACGCGGGAAGTGGTGGGTGTGCGAAATGTTGGCGTTTTATGTTCAATGGATGATCAAAGTTCTGTTTTTTGGGGTTTTATAATGCCCTCAAAGGCAGACCAGAAACCTAGCCTTTCGTGCTGTGAAAAGTAACGGTTTATCAGTGGCTGGGAAGAGATGGAACCGGTGGGGAACATTGGTGGAGACCGACTATAGAGGATGATGAATCGACTTCTGTAGTTTGTTTTGTGTGAGTTGCATCATTATTGAAATTAAGGATGCTAATGGGGTCTGAATAACTGCCTCTTTCTCTTGAACCCACTCTAGAACCTACATTTCGTATTTAGATCTATAAGTGAACTGCTGGTCTGAGTTCCTCTGGTATATTCAATTAAAGGATATTCCTGAATGTATAGTCAAACAGCACGTAATGTTGTGAACAACTACAATTACAGTTATCCAGCAGTGCTCCCATTTTATTTACAACATCCTAATGCCTACGATATTGCGCCGAAGGTGTGCCGATGGATGTGCCTAAGCTGTGCCAAATCTAATTTCGTCACAATGTGCTGAGTGACTCACGCGTTGGAATGTATACATAGAAATGTCATTTATTTATTTTTTAACTACTAGGTGGGGTAAAAAGTAACCTCTTCAGGAATGAAAAAAAAAATATTCAATATAATTCCAACGATTTTCCAACTTCATGATCCCGTCCGGAAAGTTATTTTCCGGAAGGTCTGCAAAATTATCCTCCGCGGCGGCGATGATTTCCTCACATGATCTGATTTTTTTTTAATGATAAGCCATCTTTTGAGGTTTGGGAAGAGATAATAATCTGAAGGAGCCAAATCGGGCGAATACGGTGGATGCGGAAGCAATTGGAGCCGTAAGTCATTGATTTTAGCCGTGGTTGCGATGCTCTTGTGCGCCGGCGCATTGTCTTGCAAAAACATTTTTTTTTTCGCTTCAAGTAAGGCCGTTTTTCGCTGCAATAATACACAGTAATACTCGCTGTTTGATGATTTTTCCTTTTTCAAGGTAGTCCACGAAGAGTATGCCATGACAATCCCAGAAAACCGATGCCATAACCTTTCCGATCCATCGAGCCTCCCTAGGCCGCTTCGGAGCACTCATGCCGGCTTCAGTCCATTGCCGGGCACTCATTCTGCTCTCTGGGGTGTAATAGTGGATCCAAGTTTCATCAACAGTTACCAATCGACGCCAAAAGTCCACCCGATTCCTCATCAGCAAGTCCAAACAATCTTTCTAAGTGCTCTCGCGTTCGTGTTGTTGGTCAGGAGTGAGCTTGCGTGGCACCCAGCGCCAGGATAGCTTTTTCATATGCAGAATTTCGCCCAAAATATTGCGTGTGCGCTCAGTACCAACCTTTGCGGTATCTGCTAGCTCACGCACCTTCACTTTCCGGTCAGCCAACACCATTTCATCGGAGGGCCTGCCGCTGCGGACTTGATCGGTGGTGGAGATGTGGCCACCACGAAACTCTCGAAACCAATATTTGACGGTGTAATCTGACGGAGCATTAACCCCATAGTATTTATCCAACTTTTCTTTTGTTTCCTTCGCCGTTTTGCCTCTCAAAAAATAATGTTGATTGCAAACACGTCAACAACAATCAGCTGTCAAAACAAACCCAAAGACAGTCTCGCACTGAAATTTGGCATGTCTGCCTAAATATGAACGGACTACAAAGCACCATAACCTTTTTTGCAGTAGCAGTGCATTCTGGCGGTCAAGGAGCTTACTTTTAACCCCTCTATTTACTAGGCTCAGTCGTGTGTGAAACTTTGCGGAGCCAATAATCAGTAATGTTTGAATTTACATTTTAAACAGCAGTAGTTCTAGGTTAGTATTGGGCACCAATTACTCGTGGCGGGCTCGAGGTTAATGGGTAACAATTTCAATTGGAAGGAGCTAGGTGGGAAATTGGTGTCTGAAGCATCCTTCAGATACTACTCTCGGACGGTTGACCAAATCCTGGCTGGGCAGGGGCAAGTAGCATAGAAGCAGGAGGATAATAAGACTGGGACACAATGGCTGGAAATTGTTTGGAAAGGAGGGGATGATCACATCAAACCCTAACATCAGACAAACAAAGGAATTCGTAGATCGCCTGGGTTTCCAGTATATCTCTTACCTAACGGAAAGGGTTGTCTACCTCGGGCCACTAGGGTATCCAACCGTCGTGCTCTGGAGGCGTCATTACCCGGGCAATACCAAACTGCGTGATCGATGTCGAAGTTTATTCTGTAGAGATGTGCATCTAGCGAAGAGTGGTTGGACATAAGTCTTGACATCACGCGAATGAAGCCCCGACTTACATCCAGACTTTTGAACCACGCTCTCGAAGCAACATTTGAAAAAGTGAAATGTAACCACCGCCCACGAGAATTATTTGTCCAATCGTTTTGCCAACTTAAAAGAGAACTCTGACGTACTAATGGGAAAAATTCATCATTTGAAATTCTTCTATCATAAATCTCGCCTTGTTGTGCACCCACCTTTGCGAGAGAGTCTGTCTTCTCATTGTCTGGGATTGAGCAATGTGAGGGGACCCATACAGAGGTAATCATATATGATCTTTCGACCAGCAAACTCATCTGCTCCCTTACCTTTGAAAGGAAATAAGATGAGTGCCTACCTTGGTTCATCGACCGAATAGCCTCAATCAAACTGAAACTATCCGAGGAGATGAAGTAATGGTCTATGGGCATGTCGGGAATCATTCCCAATGCGAAGTTGATTGCTGCTAGTTCAGCAACCTTTTTTGGCCCCCAGAAGAGTGCACAAACTGTCAGTGATTAACCGGATCTTCATACGTTATGATTTCATATCAATTTTTGACATTCAACATTTCTTCCTGACTTTCTGATGTTGTCAAGACTAAACTAGGTGTCAAATCGCAATAAGCCATTTTGTCTGTTTTAAAATGCGTAATTAATTGTAAATAAAAAATGCTTTAAAAGTTAAAAGAATTGCATCTCATCGTAAGGAAAAATCGAAAATAAACTAGGCGTGGGTATGGACAAACCATTGCATTCAGTAGTGCTCTCTAACGCTGCATTGAATATTTGCTTAGCATAAGGAATGGATTGTTTTGATATTTTATATTTTCCTAAAATTTACAGCTACAACGTTTGGTTTATTGTCTTCAGCAGCAGATTCAGCAAGATCTGAATCTTTAAAAT